GGTTTACAATTTATGATTAAAACTCTACTATCTACACAATATACATAGACATAAAATGTAAAAACTTAAATATCTTAGAAACAGTAGCCAATCAGTTGTTTTAATTGTCATATTTGAATTCAGCACATCAAAATACATAATAAATAGCACATTTTATCTCTGAAGCAGACGACGTCTCAAAAATTGTAGACCAGTGTAATTAGAAGAAAATAATATTCTCTCTATCCATTTACTTATAGAGTACCTAACACTATGGTATCCAGATACGAATATGGTAGGGTTCTGTAACTACTAAATCAAAAGAGGAGTCAGTTAAAATACATAGACTTGCTAGCCTCACACTGTCCTAAATGTCCTGTGTTCTCTTTTTCCTAATGCAATAAGACACTACAGGCACCACATTTCTGGGGATTACCTTTCTGGGGTATGAAGCCTGTGGCCTCATTCTTCATGTCTCAGTCAAAGTATTCATAGGCCCCAGAAACACACTGCCTGTCGTGTCTTGTTGTTTAAATATTATGATAGAACCTGTGAATAACTGAAAACTGTTTTGACATGTTCATAATAGCTTTTGTTCTACATCTGTACCGATACATTGTCTTTTCTAAAAATTCAGCATAGCTTGCTTTTTACTTTGTGGTTACATTTAATACTTTGATGAGAAGTACTAGAGCAGGGAATTAACTTCTCTACCAAGAAATCAAATCAAGCTTGAAATCAGTAGCTTTAAATTTTTGGCAATGATGTTTTGTAAAGTGAAAAGGTCCTTCTTCATGACAAGCAATTTTATTAGACCTTTATCAGCAACTTCAATGAAAGTTGCTCAGAAGTATTCAGCTGAATCACTGGTATCCCATGGAGTGACACTTTCATGTGGGGCTTTTTCAGTTGTTCTTTGTGCAGCAAGGGTTGTGTTAACACCAGATGCCAATCGCATACCACCGGTGGATTTGCAAGATTATAGGACAGGAAAAAAGATGAAGGTTAAACACAGGGCACAATAGAGATTACTTATGATAATGAATTGTATAATTTTTCTAGACAGATCTGGATTAATGTTTATCCCAGGCAAGAGATTACTATATGTCTGATTCTGGTTGTAAACACATATTATTAAACAGAAGGTTTATGTTCATGAAATGCAACTATGAGTGTTAACGCACTTATGATTTATTATGTGCAAAGAGAAAAATTAACCTGTTCATCTGCTATACTAATAGATACACTATGGTTTTTGCATAAATTGGAGATGAATTATAGGCATCTGCTATCTTTAGAAAACAAATAACTCCTGAAATGGCAAAAATTCTTCTCTGTTAAAGCCAGACTACCCCATAGACTTTGATGGAGTTACAGCAGTGTAACTAAAAAAAGAATAGCCTTAGATATTTTTATATGGAAAAAATAGCTTTTGTACTGGAGATATCTACTGGCAATATATAATAATGATACTTGCTAACTTTTGGATCTTTTTTTCTTTTTCAATGAAAAAACAGTATGTTCACATTCACAGAATATAGTGAACGGTGTCCCAAATTTGATTTCAGTTATATTAACTGTAAAAAAAAATAGTATTTTGAGGACTTGCCACTTCCAATTTAAAAAAAAAATTATTTGCATTGATATTTAGCTATACTTCATATCATTTGCTTTTCAAGTCCACTGTCCTCCTCTGTTTTATAGACTCTCTGCTGGTGAGCATGCCTGTGACATAGGTGTGATCTTCACATTTTTAAAATAATATGTTGCCTTAGTTAAATAATTCACAGCTCATTCAATTATTTGATTTTTGGGTGACCAAAGGGGAAAAAATCTCTTAAAAGACAGTCAACACATTCCAAAACTTTGCTCCTTGCGTTGAATAGATGCAATAACAATCTTGTAACCTAGTAATGAAGAACTATGTTGGCTTTCAGATAAAAAAAAATGCAGTTTTTATAATCTGTGTATGCTATTTACAAACAGTACATGATAGCTAAATGCCTTTGCATAATGCTGTTTTAAATTCCCTCTCCATTTAATAGTTGTTGATAGTACTCATAGCCTGGTTTTCACTAGCCTTCTTAACTAGTCTGTCTAATTATAGGTTACAATAAATTTATTTCTGATGTTTTATTTTTTAAACCCTACTTTCATATGTGAGAAACTTGCCTTGCCTGATTAGTCCCATTGACTTCAGTGTGACTGCTCAGGTGAGTAAAGTTACCCATGGACACAAGCAGAATGAGCCCTTAAAGCTGTAATAAGAAAGTTGAAAAGGCCTGGGAATACTATAAATTACAAATTATGTTGACTGGATTAAACTATTATAACAATTGGGCTAGATCTGACTTGCCTTGTGCACTGTAACACAGAGATCACATCAATGCTAGTAAGTAGCTCTGATATATTGAATACAAACTTGGTTTTACTGATAAACTGGAAACTAAACAGTTCAAATTTGAATTTTTTGTTTTGTTTTTTTAAAAAGTCAGAGCAATGTAATTTTATTCTCTCAATGCTAAGAAGAAAATGCTTTAAACCCATTTATATTTCTTATATACGTATATTAACAGCCCATTTGGGACAACCTAACTTTAGCTTTTGTAATATTTTGTAAAGGCTGCAAAAAGTGAATTATGAATTAGGGGTTGAAAGAAATAATTAAACAAATATTTCTAGAGGCTTGTATTATGGCTCTTTCAAATAGCTTTAAAACCAACCTATCATTCCTAGTCAATATGCAGTGTCAGATATATACCTGAAATCTTTATTACAGATGAGAACGGTTTAGGAAGCCCAAATCAGGTGTATTATACTGCTTAAAAGTTTGTGCAGTGAAGCATTATATTTTGGGAGCTTATAAAATATATATCGGGTTCTCTATTCCCTTTGCTTTATGTCGGCAGACATCTATAAGTCATTAAGGTGACCTCCATCTTCCTAAGAGAAGTAAAGGTAAAAATGAAGACACATTTCTGTTATCAGTCTACTATGGGTCGTAAGTTGAACTACCGTTATATTTTCCTCTGAAATACGCATAGCCTTGACATGGTGTTTAACAGTGTTAAGCTTATTGCCGCTGAGCTAAACATGTCTGAAGCAAACGATGACCCTCACGTCTTTGTGATAGCAAAATGTCTCCCTGATGTGATCCCACAGACTTGGAGCATTAAGTTAATTTTCCCCTGGATTTCTGAGCTGCATCCTTTTTACCCCGCGGAAACCTTGTGAGGAATACAGCTTTTGACCGAATGACAGAGCATGGAGGGTGAAATTAGATGCATTAAATTAAAATATGACAAAAAGCCTATCTAAATATTTGTCACAATGTTACTTGTGCGGCGTAATGTCCAACCCAGGAAGTGAAAGCAGGCTATTGCTGGGACTTAATAGTCTGAAAAAAATATTGGTAAACCATCCAGATTCCTTACAGGCTTTGAGAGGATAATTGAGGGTATGGTGTAAGATGTCAGAGTTCCCGGTTTGGTGATCCCTCTATCTAATCTCAGATTAGTTCCTTTCCTGTTTTCATTTGAAATAGAATTAACCATTACAAAGTTGTCTTTGGTCCTTGGCCATTTTTGTGCCACTTGAACAAATAATGCTGGTACTGGCCGCTAGAGGTTCTAGGATACGTTTGTTGGTTAAGTAAAGTATAAAAGAGAAATACCCCGCACACACACACCCCCCAAAAAAAGTCATAGTATCCAATGCATCTTTTTAGGCTACAAAAATTATTTTCCAGTTTGTCGTACAGCACTTGTGAAAGAAAAAAATATTATCCCAAGCTACTATATAAATAATTATTAGAAAAATGAGTGTGTTCAGTTAGTATTAAATGTAGGAAGAGATCAAGTCATATGGCTTATTTCATTCATGTGCATTCATCAAAACAAGAGGTTTTAATTTTTTTAAAGAGCTAAATATTGAAATGGCACATTTCTCTTTTCTTTTTGATTTTCTGTTATAACAGGCTATGGAAAAATAGGAGACTATGATAGGGTTAACCCTGCTGCACAAAAATCCATGCTGTGTATGACGGTAGTAAAGCTTGTGATCCCTTGATCTTTGATTAGATTCAAGCTAGTAAATATCTTATGATTAATCAGAATGAGTTGTTCTGCATGTAGTATAAGTCACCTTCACAGATGGGTTGTAGAATCAGTTGTTTGTGAATATTTGTTTTAATCCTTTCTAAAACAGACTTGCTTTATGTGCTCAAATCATATTCAGGCAACTAAATATCAGTACTAAGGGAGGAAACTTGCAGTTATGAATAGGATAGTAGGTCAGCATTAAAAAAGGAAAAAACTAACATAACTTAAAATGTCACTCTGCTATTGTTAAAATATAAGTGATACACAGAGTATGCTTCTCATAAGTTGGCGTATATAATTATATGGAAAAGCAGTTATAAACCATTCACATAAGTTGCTATCTTGCAGGTACAAGAACTGTAGAGACACACACACTAAAAAACTGTGTTAAGTATTTGGTCCTTATTATTATTATTCTGTTTTTAAAAAATGCTTAGTTAGAATTATAGCATTTTGGGGTGTAGGTAGAGTGTAAAAAATCTATAGGACTACCCTTTTCTATGGTATGTCAGCCTCCTAATTACTTAAATAATTGCCTTCTGATTTAGTTTACATTGACATGCAAAATACTGTGTGAGAGATCTCTTGCTATGACACTTTCATTACCACATCTCTAAGGATTTTCTATAGAATGTAGATTTCCATAGATCATATATAACGTTATGAGATTGATAGGAAGATATTGTGCTGTGTAGTAAAAGCACCTCAATTTCTGTCTTATTTCTCATAATCGCTACAGTGAGCCTTTTGTGCACAGAGGTGTGATTGAATTTAACCTGCCAACATATATGAAGAACTTTCTCTATAATACATTTTATATTGAGAGAATGATATATATATATATATAAGGTGCATGTAATCAAATGTATATGAGTTGCTATCATGCAAAGTTAATCCCCTTTTCTCTAATGTTTTTAACAGGAGGACCGGAGAACCCCCGTTAATAAATGGTTGGATTCCTTTCATTGGGAAGGCCTTAACTTTTAGGAAAGATGCTTTCAAATTCTTGATATCTCAGCAACGAAAATTTGGAGATGTTTTCACTGTACACATTGCTGGTGAGAAGCATTTTACTATTTCTCTTGCCTTTTATGTCAATTAAATTAATTATTAACATTTTTATATTTTATTTAGAATTTTATTTATTGAAAAGCCTTTATCTGTACTTATGACAGGTCTACGTTTTAGAGCCACATGACCAATGAAAATTACTTTGTAAATGAAATATTTTAATGTGTATTATATATAATCACAACTATAATTTTGTGTGTGTGTGTGTATATATAGTGTGAGTTAGTATATGCACACATATTATGCCAGCACATATAATATAGGTAAACAGAATATTTACTGTAGATTGTGTTCTCTATAGAAGTGAGAACTAATATCATCTTAACATTGCACAGGAAAACATTACATCAAATTTAGAAAATACTCATAAAAATTGTACAGAATATATTTTTTACCCTCTCTACATCTGGGTTGACAGGAGCACTAGGAAGTGAGTGACACACTGACTCATTGATACAATCAGGATTAGAACATGGAAACTTCCTGCCTAACCATACGTCCTGACACTGGCATAATAATAGAGACTGAGATAATGATCTGAAATACAGTAACTTCAGCGCTTTTTATCTTCTTAATTTTAGGCCTAATCCTGCTCTGGCTTAAGTTCACAAAAGTCACCTTGATTTCATTTGGAAACTTTGGGGTACAGGAATGCAGGATGGCCCCTAATGCTTTCTTTATATCTTTTAAAATGTGTAGGTAGATAGACTCAGTTATTTAATGGGTTTTTTCTTCTCTAACTTCTGTGATCCTAGTTCAAATTAACAGTTTTACAGTAGCATGAATTAACACTGCTATAGTGGAGGCACTCTCATTTTTTCTACTATTCCCATATTTTTAGGGAGTTTCAGACCAAAGTGTGAACTTAATGAAGTCTGCTCTATAATCTCCCAGCAGCAGGGAAAGTTTTTATTTTTAGATATTTAAAATTTTAAATAAAAATCCAAGCCATTTTTCAACCAATTTCAAGTTATCAGGTTACAAACAGGATGCTCATTTTTGAAACTCTTTCTCCATGTAACCAAAAATTGCTTAATTTTTAGATATGCAATTTTACAAGTTGTTAGTTTTATTACCTTAATTCATTCCTTTTGCTGTTTTGAAACTTAAAAGAAGTTCTTTCATTTAGAAAGGGACTACAGCACATGCACAGAAACTACTTTTGGTAAAATGTAATCTGTTCGTACTATTGTTAATATACTTTCATAATATATAAAATAATGGCTGCTTCTGAATGCAGATTAATAATAATAACTCAAAGCAAGACAGCCGTTATGAATATACTAATAAAATTGGGTACAGTTGCACTTCAGAACTTGTGTGGGACATTTCTTTCTCTCTCCCTTTTTCATATTTTAATATAAGAAAAGGGTTAGTGTGTTAATTTGTTAAAGTGTTAAAATATGTGATTGAGACTTAAATTAACAAATCCCATCTCAGTGTGATGGTAAAAATTCTGCCTTTAATCCATCTTCTCATCCCTAGATATTGTACTGAGGGATTCATTGATTAATGCAATATATGCTTAAAATAGTGAGGCAAATAGAGTGAGTTACACAACTAAATTTGTCATTATTTTGGAATATCCCAAGTTTTGTGAATTTATATCCATATATACTTTAACGTCACTTTTTATAATTCAATATTGAAAACATTGAATACTGAGAGTTTACTAAAGAGAAATAGTAGCGAACCCTCGTTTGTTTTTATTTTGTTTGGGTTTTTTTTAAAGCTTAGTTAGTACTTCATATCATAACCTTAGATACCAAGACACACTGGATTTCATGATGTTTTAGCGATTTGACAAAGATGATGTTTGTGTGTGCAGCAAACAGAACTTCCCCTGTTTTATATGTACTATCATTACTTTACCCCCCTGGTGGGTGAATAAAGGTCTTGTCAAAAAATTCTATCAATATATATTGTTCTAATTATCAGTTCTCAAAGTAGTTCATTTGGAAAATGTGGAACGATGCTTGGAGTTTCTGGCATTGCCCCGTACCGGTAATGCGATTTCACTGATTGTACTTTCCCATGTGATGAGCAAATGATTGTCATTCCGAAAAGTCGCAAGGGACATGGATGTCATCTTAATAAAGAAATTAAAAAGCACATCTTTCTCTGAGAAACAATGTAAATTCCTGACCTGTCGCAGAAAATAGTTCTCTAATTGGTTTTGTGTGGTGGTGCAGCAGAATCGTTTTCCCTAAACGTCATACCGGCGAAGCACTACTGTACATCATTGTCAACAGTTCAGCAAAATCTTCCTAATAAGAGGACGATTACGTAAATGTGATAGTCTTTAAAAAAAGAGTTGTTTCTATATGATAGTACTTCCAAATCCAACCTTTTTACTTGATAAGGATCAAGAACAAATAGACAGCCAACTAGGTAAGAACTTTAAGACCCTTGAAAAGTCTTTTCATTGTTTTTCATGATAAGACTGTTTACTTTTACTGATACGTGATTAGGAACCATACCGGATGTTGTAGTAGTATATTTTTGACTAACCAATCTCAATTTTAAAGAAGAGAATCTACATCTTATAGTTGTTATATTAAGTACATTTAGCCTCTTTAAAAGCACTCCTAGTACATTTTAAAAAAATAATATACATATATACCATTTAAAAAGCTTTTCAATCCAAAAATAGATGAAAAGTAATTTATCTTAACTATTTAAGCACTGAAGTCCATTGAAAATATTATTTTAATAACTTACATCATTATATATCATATGAAATGCTTGTCATTCATAATTAGCATTTAAAAGGGCCCAGAGTGCATTATTAGAATAATTTCTTAACTATCATACAAATACTGATTTATGTGCTAGGATTCACCAACAGTTGACAATTTTCATATCTTCTGCATCAATCTTTTGTTCTGAGGAGACTGTGTAAGCTGAACGGAGATATCTTAGGCATTCTCAGTAGTGGCTGTAATAAAACCTGAAGGATTGGAAAGAGAAGAACAGTCATGTCCACAGATGGAAGAGGAATCTGAAGGCTTTTACAGGAACAAGTGAAATATTCAGCTAATTTTACTTGTTTTTATGGTATTAAATAGAAGAGTTTACTCAGCTTACTAAGTTAGAAGGAATTTGAGCATGATTTTACTGTACAGACATGTCTTCTCAAATGGTTATGAAAAAGGATTTTTAGTGTCCACAGACGTTGTTGAACAGCTACAAAGGACTTTAAAATTGTCACAGTGGATTCAGTATAAATGGATTTAATATTTAAAGCCACTACTTTGGAGATCTTGTGGTCTGTTATCCTGCACTTTTTAGCAAATTTGGGAATTAGCTCCTACAGCTAGTCAGATGGAAGCTGTGGTGAGCACCAAAATTTTGGTTTCTTTGTTTATGGTATGGGTTCACTTCTGAGAGGTAGCTCCTGATGGTATCTGCAGTGTGGGGGCATTTGGGGGGCATGCCTATTAAAGTGCTGAATAATGACTCACAAATGTAGGAAGGCCTGCATTTGTTAGTGCCTGTTACCACCAGTACATAGACATTGCTCTGTAGAAGTGAAAACAGAGCCCAATAGGGGAAATAAAATAGATTTTTTTTTGTTAGAGAGAGAGAGAGAGAGAGAGAGAGCTACTTAATTAGCCCATGCAAAAAAAAATTATAATCCTAATATTATTTACAATAACGTATAGTTGAAATCAACAAACTTTGATGATTGGTTTTAGATCCCAAAATGCTGCTGAGGGATTGTATGTAGATAGAGGAGCTATTTTTACATTATTATACCAGGTAATTGACAATATGTTACAGACACAAGATGGGTGAGGTAATATCTTTTTACAGAAGTTGGTCCAGTTTAAGATATTACTTCACCCACTTTGTGTCTCAAATATCCTGGGACCAACATGGCCACAACACTGTACACAAATATGAATACACTGTTAAACAGGTATAGCTGCTATGTAGTTCTTCTATGTGCAAGTAGGACAGAAATCACTAAAAGTTCCAGTTGCTAGTAACACTTCAACAGTTTTATAGCCGCAACTAGTGACCTGTAGGTTTTGGTCTTTATTTAGAAAGAGATCTAAAATCTTAAGTTACTTGGGCATAGGTTCTATTGGAGGTACCTTAACAATTTGCACCATTTTTTTTTTAAACCAGCAATTTTTGCCTTCTCTATATATGGGTTAAATATCTCTCATTAGAATTTTGTAAATATTGTAACAGAGTTTTTGTGTCATATATTTCTATAATTTGTTGACTTTTTGGCAATGATGTGGCCTGGAAGCTGAATTTGACTTTGCAAAAATGAATTATATTTTAGCATTTTTTTATCAGCTGGAAAATAAGACTAATAGAAATGTTCATCTGTGGCACACCCTTAATCATAGAAAATTCAGAGTGAAGTCTTTTCTTTCCAAAAATTTGTAATTACACTAACATTGAATGAATGTTGTTTTAAGACTATTTATTAAAATGATGTTGTTTGCTTGAAGAATAATTTGCTTAGAATCATGTTGCTTATTTTTTTAAAATTATCAGAATTGATGTGCATTTGCTAAATGTCTGATTAAAGATCACAAAGAAACTTGTATTTTGCATGTGATATAAGCAGATGGTGCACAGATGGTTTAAATTAATATTAATTAAAAAATCTTAACTTAAAATTGTTTACCCTGTAAACTCAAAGTTGGAAAGCTAGCTAACTTCTTTAGGGTTAATAGCGCTCCAGTCTACTTATTAAAAATTATACCAAAGGTTTTTTATTTCCAGCCCTTGATCAGAAAGATAGTGGCCTCAGTAAAGGGTCTTGAGGAGAAAAGGTATAAGAACTGAAGTGGAGAAGAGTGCTGAAGGTTGGCAACACTAAGATCTCCAACAAAGATCTTGGGTATCCTGGAGTTAAAAAGTTAAAGAAGCGCTTATTCTGAGATCAAAAATGCATTCACGTCCTGCAATCTAGTAAGAGAGACCTCTTATCTAGTGATTGGAGCAAGGTCAGGAAGCTTCAGTACTGCTCCTGACACTGCCAGTAGTCTGCCATGATTATTTTTAGACCAAGAAAGGAAGTAACTCTAAGATCCCAATGCCACATTGTTTAATTAGTAAATTACATTATAGTAAAACAAACAAAGAGTAACTTAAAAACACTCAAAAATGTTTCTTTGACAAAGACCTTGGACGGAATTCTACCTCGATATGTGTTTTGTGCAACCCCTTGATTCCAACAGGAATATAAGAGTCCAATATGTACTCATAATTACCACACCATGGTATATGTATCCACAGTCAAAACAGAAAATAACTATGGACTCTCACATACCACTAGATGTTACCGAGGGATAATTGCTGACTTTTAAATAGTGGCTACTTTATGTACACAGAGCCAAATTCTGTCCTCAATTACACATGTGCAGCTCCCATTAAAGTCAAAAGGAGTTTCACCCATTCAGCAGGGCAGAATTAGGCCTCAGATCTTGTAAGGATTGTTCCTTTTCTTCTTTTATAGTGTGGATATTTCACTGAATATATGTACATTTTAATGAATTTTTTTTTCTAATATATGCACAAGTTAAGACTCACAAACCTTTACTGTAAATTTAAACTTAGCATGGGCCCAGCTATAGTAAATTCAGAATTAATTTTATTTTGGGAGCATTATTTTTTTTTGATCCCTGACAAATGACCAGCAGTTTGACTTACCAGAATCTCTTTACTAGTAATTGACTTTCGGGGGAAAGAAGCTACAAAATTAACCCTAAAAACATCTCACACAGAAAAATAAATGGAACATTTTAAAAGGAAGTAAAAATTAATGTGAATTCTCTCTGTAATGTTGCTGTCAGGTCAGCACTATCTCTTCTGATTACGAATGTAAGAAAGGGTGATAGAGTATGTTGTTAGTGCATTCTGATGCGATAATATTGGGTTCTCTTTCTTTGGGGTTAGCTTAAAATCAAGATAGGATAGCATACTTCCAAAAATACTTTTCCATTGTTTTAAAATGATGGTATATTGCACAGCAAACTATTTTTTTTTTAAATAAATCACCAGGTTATAATTTGTTGATACTATAATAAAGCTGCATCATCCTGTTAAATTTTAAAAAGTCAGGAAAACATGGAAGAAGTAAACAAGACTGAAAAAGTATTTTAGTTGTCATGTTTTCTTTGGGCTATGGGAAACCTCATGGGCCCTGATCCTACAATAGACTTTCATGTAGATGGACCCCTGTGCTCATGGTAACCCCCATTGATTTCAGTGGGCTCTATATAATCATAGAAATGTAGGTCATCTAGTCCAGAAGCCATCTTGTTCAGCCCACTACACTGAGGCAGGACCAAGTATATGCCGGAAGGTGTGCAGAGCTCATTGTAAAATTGAAGCCTTGGTTGGTGGGACTAACCTGGTCCACATAATTTATTCTCTTCTGCTTGAAGAAAAGCAGCATGCTGATATGTTAGCATATTTCCCACTTCAACCCCTCTCAAGCTATTGATATATTGCCCTTTCATATGGAACTATTTGCTTGTTCCTTTTTTGCCATTAAAAGATATCTAAAGATGTATAATTTTCAAAGTGCTTTTGAAAAGCATAATAAAGCTATATTGTATTTTTCTTGAGTTTTGCCAAGTTAGTAAATGATTCATATGACTCCAAAGTACCATGATTATGTCACCCTCTACTGTTGTCAAAACAATAGCTCGATCTACACTTGACCTCCCTCATTCTAGTCTACTACAAAAATAAAGTCTCTGACTTTTTTAAAAAACTAATTATTGTAATTTCTCTCTCTCTCTCTCTTTTTACAACTAACTTTTGAAGATTTCTATGTGCTTATCACTTGAAACGCTTGGGGGGAATGGCTTAAATCAGTGATTCCCAAACCTGTTCCGCCGCTTGTGCAGGGAAAGCCCCTGGCGGGCCGGGCTGGGCCGGTTTGTTTACCTGCCCCGTCCGCAGGTTCGGCCAATCGTGGCTCCCAGTGGCCGCAGTTCGCTGCTCCAGGCCAATGGGAGCCGCTGGAAGCGGCATGGACTGAGGGACATACTGGCCG